GTTCTCAAACAAGAACAGACACAAATGAGTGTTTTCTGAAGAGGAAGGACTTGTCCTTCCATTATTAACCTCTTCATAAACTGTAATTGGTTTGCGCTCAAGCCCCCCAACCAGCTGCTACTGAAGTATCTGAATGTGTTTATAATGAAGACTTGCTGGCAGGTCCTGTGTATCAGCAGATGAAAAGCAGCCAGATTTCTTTTTTGTCTTCAGACAAGAGCTGTTCATCAACTGAAGAGCACATGGGGGACAGTGTATATGAGAGCACCCGGAGGTCCACAAAAAAGAAAAAAATGAAGTAAAGCACTTCAATATATACCCATTTTGTGCCAGATCTTTTTTGTTCAGGGTTTGTTTTTCACAGGGAAACAAATTCTAGCAATAGAAGACAAAGCCACTTCTAAGAGGAAAATTAATATAAACAAATGTAACCCTAACCCCTAATGCATTTGGAAAGAATACAGGCATGGCACAACAGGTCAACAATGTACATTTCAATTTGTATGAACAGGCATTAAAAAAATAGTAAATGCAATTCTCAAGGCCATGATGAACAAAGCATGTATCTATTAGAGTAAAACAAAGATTCAAACATTACTTACAAAAAATTGATCAGTTTATGGACAATGTATTATCAAAAGTAAATATCTTATAACGATACAAATCATCATTAGTTGAAAAAATGCTTGATATGCTGGGTGAATTTTTGACAGTCACAAGCTTGAGGTCATGGAACTGTCATCAGCAGAACCATGGAAAATGTTCTTTTGTATTAATGTGCTTAGGTGTGGCTTCATATTCTGGATAAACTATAATTAGAATCACAAATTGGAAGTGAATAAATCACCTTATATACCTATTTAACTTTTCTGTGGTGCTATGGTGGACCAAAGTAAGTTTTATTGTTGACTTTTGAGTCATTATCACTGTATTGAAATCTGACTGTTCCAAAAAACATCCCAGATTGTGAACATATGTGTCTCCTCCTATCACTGAGGAAAACACCCTGTATGTGGTTTGATACATTAATTGACAAGCTTTGCACCTTTCTTTCCCACAGAACCTGTTCTGAAAAATGTCGAAAAAATGTATAAAAGTTGGATTTTCTTTTTATTTCAGAATTTAGGACATTAGAATGCCTTCCTAGAAGTTCATGTCATAAATTTAAAGGACTTTTACTGCAGACTCACTGTGCTGTTGCAAGAAGCATGTTCAGATACGGATAAATAATTATATTTCAATAAAAGGTCAAACTACAACTGACAAGAACACAGAAGGTTATAAAGTGCATGATTCAGGGTTAAAATGAAGTAGTAGTAAAGGAGATAACACCCCCAAAAAAAAAACTCCACTACCCCTATAAAGCTGGGTACAGACGTAAAGTTTTTCTTCATTCAACTCAGTAAGCTGAATGGAAAAAACCCTGACATATCACTGTACTAACACAAGTGATATTACTGCAGCAATCTCCCCTCCTGTGTCGTTGTGTTCTGACAGGGAGACCTGAGCCCACCAGAACAGACTGATCAGCGCTCACAGATATTGGCTGCGAGCGCTGATCAGATGCTGGTTTTCCAGCATGTCCTTGCCGGAAAGCCAGTTGTACACACTGACCAAATGTTGGATGGTTTCTATTGAAACCAGCTGATATTCGCCCCTGTGTACCCACCCTTAATCTGCAGTTGCTCTCACAAAATATACTAAAGGCAAATAAACTGTTCACTTTGCAAGGGAAGTTGTGCTTTGCAAGGGAATTTTCCCCTTAGCTTAGTGAATGAGGTGACACTGCTGACTTCCACCATCAAATGTTCAAGTAAAATTCTGTTTTATACTTTCTTTGCACATGATTGGGTATTCTTTACAAAGTGAAGCTTCACTACCTTCACTAAACTCTGCGTAAAAATACCCATACAAAGTGCAATTTCACTTGGAAAGTGAGCAGCCTATTTGCATTTAGCAAGTTGATGACAAAATCTCCCATCAATCTCAAGGTCCATAGGTTGTTTCATGAGCAATCACATTATCTCTGAGTGTGATAGCACACTTTGAATGTCCAGTTTCGCTCAAGGGGTGGCCAGGAGGTAATATCTGGATTTTTACAATGCATGTTTTTTTTAAGATATTGTAGGTGCAATAAATGCACTGATTTTATGTATACCTGGCAATCTGCACTATTTTGTTTTCTCCTGACATCTTGCAGAGCCTGTCATGTAAGGAGGGTTTGGAAGCAGAGCCAATGGTCACAGGTGTCCAGATAAAGGGTCATGTGGGAGATCATCCATCCAGGAGAATGCTATAAGAGCTCTCCACATGAACAGCCACCATTCAATGACAGCAGATTTCCTTTCTTATTAGAACTGGAATAAGAGAATAACATCATACTCTTTCATACAATATATGCAGCGGGTGGACTGCTGCGAGTATATTGTATATGCAGCATGGATCAAGTGTTCGTAGTCTGAGCAAAGGTGGACTTTCAGAACGTGTTACCTCACAGAAATAGCATGGTTGCTCATAGTGAGTGTACCTTGTGGACCTTAAAATCACTGGGATATGTGTAGGAAGACCTGCAGACTGAGAGTGATAGTGGCTGTTAATGATACATCTGACCAGAACATGACCTGTTTTTAGTTTTACTACAGAAATTGCAATATATTTCTACCGACAGAGCAAAAGTAACGTTATCCCAATCCTTATAAACATTATTAAAATCTTCAGTTTTTTTTAATTAAAGAATATTTAAACCAGTAAAAGAAAAGTGCTTTTTTGCTATACACTATATGCTATTAAATCAGTATAAATATAGAATAATTCAATCTGTAGTACAAAGTATTAGAAGACATTGAACATATACTGGCAATTCTGCCTGTTTACACTTCTCAGAAGTGAGTCAAGTAGTGTGGGAATTAGATCTTGTCATTTTAATAATGACCTCTACAGGAACAATCAAGTTGTAGATATGATGGAGTCACCTGGTGTGTTAGAAGATCTTGCAATGTCCCCATCAGCTCAACAAAACTATTATGGAGACAAAACTGAGAATAAATAAGGAGACTTTGCTTATTATGCTGGTATTAATTTTCCCCATAGGAGCTAATTAAATTCCTTCTTGAAGCCAAAGGCTTGAAATAAAGCCATGGCATATTAACTCTGCAGTATCCACTCCCATTCTGTAGATTTTCCAGAAAAATCAAGATCTCAGAATGAAACAGATAATAGAACTTGACACATTCACACAAATATAAAAAGACTGAAGTAGAGAAACATGTATACTCCGTATAGCTAACCAGATTCTTTCTTTCTTTCTTTCTTTCTCCAGCCTTCATAAAAAAATATTGCAGGTGGAATTTAACTGGTTTCTATAGGCAGCACATTTCATTTCTAATTGCAATAAAGTAACTCATTCATTTTTTTTAAGGGTCAGCCCACCAAAACCTGTTTTTTTTGGTAGATGCCTGAGAGGTAAACTAGCTAACAGTTTCTTATACCCCTGAGGTGCTAAGATCTCCGAGCATGAATTTCAGAAATATCATACCAACCCTGACCACAAGGGGAGTCTTAGTTGCTCTGTTTAATTGTGATATATTTTATATAATGGAAGACGCAAAGGGAAAAGTGGAAATCACCCCTGAGGGTATTCCCAAAAGACAAGCAGGAGAGTGATTAAAAACTATGGCAGGGAGATCTCACCTCTGGAGTCCTGGGAGATATTAGACACTCACCAGTCTCTATGAAGCATCACCTTTTGAGTAGACTATCCCTTTAAGGACATATTACATTGCAAAGAACAAACTCAAAACTGTTTTCTTACACTTTTATTTTACTGGTAATTTAAGGTACAATCAAATCTCCTCCCATGATCACTTTCATAAAAGTAGTCATCTCTTAGTGCTGCAAAATTATAGCATTTCATTATTTAATAACAATAAAAATTATAAATTAGCAAACAAATGACAAGAGTATGAAATTATAAACAGTGACATTTCAGACGGCTGCATACAGGTTAACATCTGAATAAAGAAAAATTACTTTAAAATATAGTATTTTATATAATGTGTACTGTATATACAGTTGATATATCTATTTACCTAATGTCATTAGGTGTTTTTTTCTTCTTTTTATAGTACAGTTTGGAACTAGTAATTTTGGGATAAAATGAACACTAAACATGCAACTTTTACAAATAAAAAAGGTACAATGTTAAGAAAACTGAGGACAGGATGAATAAATAACATAAATCCAAAATTCTGTTGAGTAAAAAAAATATTTTACATCATTTGATTCTCTTTCAAAGTATTCACAGAATTATTTGGCATATGTCTGGGTAGGTTTACAATTACACATTTTTTATTATGTGAACTTCAAACAAAAAGAAAACCTCCTAACTATGACTTAAGGACTTGAAGCATAACAACATTCCAGCATTCACACCTATAGTACGGAGTATAATACTGATAGCTGGATATATTTCTATCGCTTGTATTTGGGCCACATTTTAAAAGAGCAGAACAAGCATCGGACATGTAGCAGTCTTTACTTCCACAATCACTCAAAATTACAGAGAAATACTTAAAATACACCAACTGTGTCTCTGAAGATAGTTCTGGTGTTTTCTGGGATACTAGCAGCCAGTACATATGATACCTCTAAGGTATTCCCTACTTGTTGCCAAGCTGAGAAAACAAAATTTACAGATGGTATATAGACTGTGCTCAAAAATAAAAGGAAACATGTACATCTATTCGACATAGTAATTCCCTTAGGGATGTGGACAGAAGACGTTTGCTCCTAAAGTGACGTGTAATGCAATGACAGCTGATCCCACCAGTTCCTTGTCTGTTACAATAATAGTTTCCAAAGCAGGTAAACACACAATTAGATATACGGGGGTCTTGAATATCTGAAAGTGAAAAATGTCCATTCTGAGTCTCTAACTGAAGCTATTTGAGGGCAATAGCAACAAACCTTCTCTTCGTGTTGCTCTTAGATTAAGTCAGATTTAAAGGGGGAATACCAGAAATCCAGAAAATGTGGAAAACTTCCATCCTCCCATCAAATTTCCCTTGTCTAGTTTTAAATAAGCTCTGTCTCCTTTTTTCCATTTGAATAAGAACTCCGTTGCTAGCTGCTTCTCTAGTCACATCCTGATCACCAGCAAAAGCAGATATCACAGGCCATCCATTTAGCATTAGACTCACCTGGAAAAAAAAAACAGTAAGACATAATAAGGTTTCTGGAAGCTTTACAAACCAAGGGGTTAATATGTTTGATTCAGTTCACTAAGCAAGCTAGTAACATTCGGAATGAGAAAGTTTAGAGTCTTCAAAGTACAGAGGAAGCTTATTTATTTCAATTCATTCACTGCTGCCCACTTATGCTGATTTAGTAAAGGGCATACTTTTTATTCAAGACAAGCAAGCGTGTGTCAAATGCCCAGCCAGTCTAGAGTGAAAATCAAAAGCGTAGCATTCCCCTTAACCTCATTGTTTCAATAAACACAGAAAAGATCATGAAGAGTTAACAGGCATTTATTCAAGCTAAAATTTCTTGGAGGGTAGTGTTTGACTGTGATTTAACATATATATAAATACATAACTACAACAGAAGCTTAAAGATATCCAACCCCATTTTAAAGCAGATTTTTTTCCCACTGTAATGGATTTATCATGCCATGTACAAAATAAAAGTGCATGCTTCTCTATCATATATTGCGAACAAGAATAAAAAGCACCAATAACATGAGCGGAAAAATATTTTTTACATTATCAGGTTACCAGGATAAGTGAAAGAAAATCCATGGTCACTGTAGATTCAACATACACATGTAGTGTATGCATTTTAAGGGGGTTGTTCTTGTGTTATTTTTTTTTTCATTTGCTACAATGACTACACAACAACATTATAAGTGAAATTCCTTACTTAAGTGGTCAACGTGCATATATTCTATGTTATTGTATTTATTTGGTTAATTTAATTCTAATTGTTTATTGAAAGATAAGCTCCTAGAGGGTCTTTCTGAGTAATGAAAATTTTCTGTAGGGTACCGCTGGACCAATCAGAAATCAGTACTTACGTCTGAGCTAAACAAAGAAAGCTGAGACCAACCAGTAGCCATGGGTGACTACACCCCAGTATTTTATGCACATCTTACATACTGTTATGTTGCAAGGGGTTAAATATTTACTGACATGTTATATAAAGTGCAATTTCTCCTCACACGTTCAAAATGAAGCGCTTGCTCATTCTAAATCTCACTACAAAAAAAAATCTACTAAGCAAAAAAAGGCAGATGTTTGCTTTCTAGCCACAAATATCAAATGGCCAGCACATCAGATTATGACTCTGGAGACTTTGCAAGCACCTTGCAATGTTTTATTATGAGGAGCAGTAAAAGCAGATAGCCATAACCTGTCCTAAACCTAAAACCCAGCAGTCTTACATTATGTGACAATTAAATCTAATGAATTGTGTGTGTTCTTTATGACTTGTTAACAGTTGCACTGACATGATACCTTTGGTCTTCAAAGTGCCACCATCACTATTATTTTGGAAGCTTAAACATTCAATGATAGACTTCATGTCAAAATATGCCATCAGGAATGACACTTTATGATTTATCACACCCCGAGAATAAATAGGACACATTAGCATATTATGTCTCAAGAAACCAAAATGCTGCTTGTTACTGAGAGTATGAAGATGACAGATCAAAAGCGGTATCATTAATATCTCCTGAACTGTCCCCACAAGAGAAGGAGTTTCTAAAAATGACCAACAACATTAGCACCTCATTTTCACCACACTGCTTGCAAATAACATTTGGTTTGAAGGTGACAGAGCACCACAAACTTTCATTATCAAATACTCTCATCAGCTAATCATTTTTTATATGCTTTAGATTGCTGGAAAAGTAAGATTCCATATTGTTTTATATTATTATGATATACAATATGTTAAGTAAGCATAAATAAATAAGATTTGAGACTTACTAGCACCATCAATATTATCTCCTAACCAAAAAGTGTTAAGCAAATATCTAATGGCTTCAAAGTCATTGGAGCTACAGATAAATGAGTACATACAAAATGTTTTAAAAATAAATATTTTTCAGTTAAAGAACATTTTACATCACATATGTTCTCTTAAGTGAAGTAGAAACTGACACTGCCTTTATAATAATGTATGGGTTAAACAGTGACACATCAATAGCTGTGAGTGTAAATCAAGATAGATGGACAGAGAAATAGAAAACACCATCCTGACCTGGATTGTTTGGCGGTTGTACACTTTTACCACATGGAAATTGAAGCTGTAAATCCCTTTTCTTGGTGATATGAATGTGCTTCGTTCGGAATCAAAATTGCTTCCAATGTTTACCAGTATCTAGATACACAAAAGAAAAATTAAAAATATTGAGATTTAATTATCCACACCATAGGCAAAAAATACATAAATAAAAACTAGAGTCGCTAAGCAATCTCATCAGGTGTATTCAACTAAAGGGCTTGAGGGCCACACTTAGGCCAAGATTTTTGGAGAGACATGGTCATTTTGCTTAGTTAAATACACCTTACGACATTCACTGCTGTCTGTTATTTTGGAGAATCTTGAACATTCTAGGACAACCTCTAGGACTAGAATTTCAGATCCCTGTTTTATATGGAGGTAGGTACTAAAGGGTTGATTTAGTGTAGAAGTCATGTTTACAGTGGCCTGAATTACATTTAAATAACCAAGAAGGTTCTATCTGTTCATAATTCCTTCTACACCTACTACAGTATTTAAAATGAACACAGGCCAGTGTAAAAATGACACCTTTATAGCAGCTTCAACTTTGATAGACCCTACAATATTATCAAAATCACCTTAAAAACCAACACAATACAAATAATTCTCCAAATTATTTTCAGCAGGGTTACCCTTATGTAGTAACTAAAAGAAATGCTTAGAAAAATGGTGTCTACAAGGAAAACAATCTTTATTTTCAGGCATGTCAAAAAACTATTAGGTTTAAAATAACTATACGTTGAAAACAAGGCTCTTTAGCACGTAATGCTTTGTAAATTCAGCGTATTGCATATATTTCCTCAAAAACAGAATTAAACTCTCTTAAAGAATAACACACTTTTTGATCATAATTTGGTTTGAATTTAAAAGCAGGTTGAATTAATGTATGAAGTTACAAAGAAGGTCACTGCAACAAATAATAGATTTTTCTGCTACAAAAAAAAATATTTTAATTGTACTAGTACACGTTACTTTTCTTATATGCTTTTATATTTGCAACAAATAAGTGGCATTGTATTATGGCTTGTTTGCATTGGTTAAATGAATTACCCTTTTATAGACAATAAGTATCCAGACTCCATACACAGTAGATTCTTCAGACAGACAATAAATCACTTCATCGCTTCATTTAGAAGCTGCTTATGAAAGTTAAATGTCATAGGAAGACAAGAATGGTTGTTTGTGCAGACTCAGCTGCAGCGCGTACATATGGGCGCTTATTTAGAGATGGTCAGCTTTGTGGTTTATGACCAGGAAAAGGTGAAAGGCATAGCAATGTATGAAGAACCCAAGGGATTAGGTCAGTTTTTGTTACAACTCTCTTAGATTCCGGAGTTATTTTAAATTAGATGCAAGGTCTAAACGCAGCATTTCGCTCTAATAAACATCATGCTATGGCCCTGGATATTAAATACACTTCAATATAAAGCTATCTGACCCAACACACCAAGCATGCCCACCATCAAGGTTTGACGTAAATATCAGTCCAGGAATATTTAAAGCATTTGTCATTAGCAGATACCAACAGAGAACGGCTGCTGAAGCTGGTAAAGCATCCCTCATCCGAATGGTCCTGATAATATTACCCACTACTATAACAAAACAGATATAACAAAACATTTTTGATGGTCTATTTACCAGACAAAAAGGGAGCAAAAATAGTTTTATTACTAGGTTTACATACACTTCAATGATGGCCATACGCGTAATGATTTTATATATGTTCGTATTTTCAATAGAGTTGCTTTCTGAACAGAAATATAACCAACATGCCATACACGCAAGGATCAAGTTGAATTATCTACTTTCCTATGATCGGATTTTGCAGCCAAGACTGATTGGAATAATTTTGATTAAGTTGAACCATTTTGATGGAATGTATCATTCATAGATCTGATCGTATCTGATTCTGTGAAAAATCATTCAATGATATTGTTACAAATATGGTCACCATAGGATAAAGCGATAATCTGAAATAGACCAAAATCCCCTTAAAGTCACAAATGAAGGAGAATAAGTTAAATCTGTCACCTTAGTTAATACTTTTAGTGAATATCAGGCTTCTTAAATATATAAACTATTTGGTTTGTCCCAATCATGTTTAATCCGCTTACTGTTGACTGACGCGGTACCTCTGCTGGAAGTCTATTCCAAGCATCAACTACCCTGTCAGTAAAACAATACTTTCTAAGGTTAGTTTTGAACTTCACACCTGCTAGTTTGAGGTCTTGTCCCATGTTCTTGATCTAGGCTTCATACTGAAAATCCTGACCTCCTTAACCTCATTCACACGCTTCAGGTATTTAAATGTTTCAGCCATGTCCCTTATTTCCTCAAGCTTGTACATATCAAGCTTCTGAAGTCTCAACTGGTCAGTAAAGCACTGCACTACAGTCCTTAGCAGATCCAAAGCTAACCACACACATTTCTATATCATTATACCATCCCTTTTCTATCCACCAAAACTGTATGGTAGGAGCACCTACTAAACAGTAATGTGTTTTTGTATTCAGTAGGTAGGCTCTTGTACTACATAGTTGGTAGAAAAGTGATTGTATATGAAGACTGCAAGGTGTATTATTTAGTAGGTAGGCTCTTCTACTAGTAGTTTTGATAGATCTAAACATGCTTTGTACAAGATGTTTTATTCCGGAGGTAGGCTCCAGTGCTACATAGTTGGTAGGTCTAGAAGTAACCGTATAAGAAGATTTCAAGGTGTATTATTCAGTAGGTAGGCTCTTGAACCGGTGGTGGGTTGATAGATCTAAATATAATTGTATAAGATTGCACTGTGTATTAGTAGGTAGGTTCTTCTACTAGTAGTTTTTGATAAATCTAAAAATGCTTTGTACAAGAAGATTGCAAGCTGTTTTATTCCTGAGGTAGGCTCCAGTGCTACATAGTTAGTAGGTCTAGAAGTAACCGTATAAGAAGATTTCAAGGTGTATTATTCAGTAGGTAGGCTCTTGGGCTAGTTAGTAGATCTAAAAGTGATTGTATAAGAAGCTTTCAAGGTGTATTATTCAGTAGGTAGGCGCTTGAACTGGTGGTGGGTTGATAGATCTAAATACGATTTTATAAGATTGCACGGTGTATTATTCAGTAGGTAGGCTCTTGTGCTACATAGTTGGTAGATCTAAAAGTGATTGTATAAGAAGCTTCCAAGGTGTATAATTCAGTAGGTAGGCTCTTGAACCAGAGGTGGGTTGATAGATCTAAATATGATTGTATAGGTTTACAAGGTATATTCAGTAGGTAGGCTCTTGAACCAGAGGTGGGTTGATAGATCTAAATATGACTGTATACGTTTACAAGGTATATTCAGTAGGTAACCTCTTGAACCAGAGGTGGGTTGATAGATGTAAATATGATTGTATAGGTTTACAAGGTATATTCAGTAGGCAGGCTCTTGAACCAGAGGTGGGTTGATAGATCTAAATATGACTGTATACGTTTACAAGGTATATTCAGTAGGTAACCTCTTGAACCAGAGGTGGGTTGATAGATCTAAATATGATTGTATACGTTTACAAGGTATATTCAGTAGGCAGGCTCTTGCACTTGTAGTTTTTGATAGATCTAAACATGCTTTGTATAAGATTTCAAGGTGTAGGTAGGTTCAAGAGTAGGTAGGCTCTTGACCCAGTGATGGGTTGATAGATCTAAATATGATTGTACAAGAAGATTACAGGGTATATTAATCAATAGGTAGGCTTTTCTACTAGTAGTTTGTAAAAGCTCTAAACATGATTTGTATAAGAAGATTTCAAGGTGTATATTACTCAGTAGGTAGGCTCTTGTACCAGTGGTGGTTGATAAATCTAAATATGATCGCACAAGAAGCTTCCAAGATGTCAGCTGAAGTCCCAAACCCTTGAAGTTAGAGGCATGAGAAGTCCAGATCTGGCATAGTGTACAGCCCACCCCTCCCAGGACTCACCTGGTCGAAGTAGATGGTCATGGATCTGTTACTCATCTCGGACGGTTCATGGTTGGTGCTTCTGATGGCAGAGAAAGCCACCTTGGCACTGCCGGACCGCACAGAGATGCCCAGAGCAGTGCCGGTGGGGTCGGCGGTCGGGTTGGAGTCACACACCACCAGACATTTCCCTTCCAGCAGAATAGGTTCCGTTTCGTTCTGAGCGCTCGACAGCCCCGCCAGCCACACCAGCCCCAGAACCAGAACCAGGAGCCACATCTCTGGACCAGCACAGAGCCCCGCACTCACTCAGCACTTCTTTTCTACTCCTGGACCCGCTGCAAATAGACCATCAACCTCCAAAAGGAAAAGCCTGCTCGGGGACCGGCGGCTGCTCTTCAAAGGCACTTTGCCGACTTTCGGAGTGCTCTCCAGCTTGCAGTCTTCCCGGGCGGTGGTCGGCCTCGATCGGACGCACTTCAGCAGCCTCAGTACGTGTGTGATCGCATGTCAGCTGAGCCCAGCGCTGCTCCCTCGGACTGGCAGAGCAGCTCAGGACATCGCATAGCTCCAGCTGGAATATCGATGCATCCAATACTACGAGCGGAGCGCAGAGACAAGCGGGGGAGGGGGCGGGGACATGGACAGGACACGCCCGCCCCGGGCACCACCAATGCACGCTCACCCAGCCGGTCCGCTCCTCTGCGTGCTACGGTTGTGGCTTTATACCAGGCAAAGGCAAAGTGCTGGCTGCTGGGCTCTCCTCCGGATCACGTCTGCGGGGTACAGCCAATGGATCGCTACTGATCGCCACTCCGCTGCCTGGAGCTTGATCTACAGGTGAGTGTCACATGAAGCATGCCTGTTTCTGTGGACTGCTGAGCCCATCACTTGTGCTGATGCTTGGCTAACATATATAGACAAAGAGATATCTATCGATCTATCTGTCTGTCTATCGATCTCTCTATATGTTAGCTTGAATCGTCCTCTTTTGGGAACTGTCAGCTGAGAGTATAAAAGGTACTTTTTGGAGTTAAAACAGTAATAAACCCCAAACCAAACATTAGTTATATTGCAGTTTACTAATTCTTAGATGTGATGGCTGCATTCATTTTCTTTTTTAGGCTTTTATTTTAATCTGGCGATCTGGTCAGTAAGCCTGTTGATTTTCAAAAGAGCAAGCTGCCCTGCAGATGTAGCAGTTAGAACAGCCTTTCTCAACCTTTTCAACACAGAGGAACCCTTAACATAACTTTCTGGTCTCAGGGAACCCCTACTAAAAATGGCTTTATCTACAATTCATGATACATTCGTGTAATGGTCAGTGGGAAGAATGTTCCTTACACTTGTGGTCATTGGGAAGAATTACCCCCTTACAGATTGCTAAAAAGATCAATGGTGTTAGTGGAAACTTATCTGAGAGGCAAATTTGCTCATTTCTCAAGGAACCCCTTGCAACCTCTGGAGGAACCCCAGGGCTCCACGGAACCCTGGTTGAGAAACCCTGAGTTAAAGGGTTGAGACAAGCCATTTGACACTGCCAGAGGTGCTTACAGTGGTCAGCTTTTAAATCTTTAGGAGAAATCCGTAACCCAAGAGGAACAAATCTGCTTGTTTTAACTGATTTTAAAGCATCCGCTGGAGTTAGGCTTCAGTTTGTTAGTTTATTTAAATCTGCAAGTTCATCTAACACTCCCCTTTTCCCAGATTGAAAATGTTCCTGGCCAAAGGTGTCCCCTGTGCTCATTCATCCAGAGAGGAGGCACTCTAATACAGGACGCGGGTTACTGGCTGGATCAAAAGGTGAAAAAAGAGGGTGGAAAGTCTAAATGCAACCATCACATTTTAGGATTGGTAAGCTGCATTATATTACATTTTATGGTTTGGGTGTAGTGTCACTTTAAGAATACATACTTGAATATTTTATTTATTATTGGTACTTATGGAGTGCTGTCAATTTACACAGCTCTTTACATATATATTGTACATTCACATCAGTCCCTAACCTTTAAGGGGCGTACAATCTAAGGTCCCTAACATTCATACATATCCATACTAGGGCCATTTAGACAGGAGCCAATTAACCTACCAGCATGTCTTTGGAGTGTGGGAGGAAACCGGAGTACCTGGAGGAAACCCACGCAGACAAAGGGGAGAACATGCAAACTCCAGGCAGGTGGTGCCATGGTTGGGATGCTATAGTACTGCCAGGTGGAAGTACTAACCATTTAGCCACTGTACATAAACCAAACTTTTTTTTATCACTTTAAGTTTAATGAAAGGAACTTACTACATGTTACAATCTGATTTAGATCCACCGACAACTATGTAATGCACTGGCCTGTGTTATTTGATAGCATTTGATTGGGATGTATAGGCTTGTTTTCTTATTATAAAATATTGATCAATTAAAAGAAGATTGTAATGTGATTTTAGTGTGTATGGCCACCCATATATTGCTCCTAGCCTCCGCCAAATTCTTATTATTGCTGCTGTGATCTGACTTCCTGTTAGAGGGTGACTACGTTCATTCTCCATGGTCCCACTGTTGGTAGGTACAGTATGTAGCCACCCTCTCTTGCTCGCTTCCGAGATGGACTAGGAACTATGGGATTTGTAGTGTGCATAGAGCAGTGCTCCTTCTACACAAACAGAACTAAGGGGTGGAGGGGGGATTTGGGAGAAAAATTCAGTAAGAAAAGATTTATTGCAAAACAGATTACAGATCATTAATTAGTAGATGCATATGGATTCATTTTGGAGGATATTGTTTAGTGTCACCTTAAGACATGCTTTCTAGGAGTATTGTAGCTTTTGAAGCGTTCTCATCTGTAACATGCAGTGCAGTTCCTTCAGAGGCTGGGAAGTTTCAGTAAAGTATTTATGGAGTTATGTCATCCCATCCTTCTTCCAAAAGTCACTATTACACAATGGAAGAAATCACCTGCTGGGTTCATGTAGCAACAGCATGACTTCTAGCTGTCATTTTCAAAGCTTAACTGAACAACCTGAAGATAGAAGCTGGCTACTATGCACAGCTGCTCCAGATTCTGACTGCTCCTGCCTTAGCCCCGGTTCACATATATGCAGCCGTGCGGCCTGTGTTTTGCATGGGCACAAGAGCCCATTCATTTGAATGGACTCTCGTGCCCCGTGACACACAGGGAAGAAGTCCCTGCACTTCTTCCAAAAACGCAGCCAGCACGGGAACCTCATTCCCAGTACGGTTGCGTTTTCCAGTGCGGGCGGTGTGCCATTAGAACTAATGGCACCTGCCCACAGGTCCGCATTTCTCTGTGCGGGTGGTGCTGCTGCACGGATTTTCGTGTGGATCCGTAGCAGCACCACCCGCATAGATGTGAACCTAGCCCTAATAACTCTCCCAATTTGTTGCAGTTTACCAATCCTTATGTGTGTTGGCTGCATTCGTTTTCTTTTCTAGACTTTTGTTCTTTATTTTTACCTTGGGCTCTGGCCAGTAACAAACCTAATAAATAAAAGTTGACCACTGTAAGATTTACTGACCAGATCACCAGGTGAAAACATAATGCAGCCACCACATCTAAGAATTGGTAAGCTGCAGTGTAATACATGCTTGTTTTTAGGTTTATTACCACGTGAACATACAGTATTTCTGTAGCACCAGATATATGCCATAGCACTTTATTCCTATTTCATAAACAAAGTGTTATCATACTGATAAATATTTTCTAACCATATCAAAAATATATAGCTGTATTTTTGCGAAGACATACACTCAACATAACAATAGCTAGCAACATTTAACTGGACAATTTATTTTCAGTACTTATCCAAGTAACTTCTTTAGTTCTAACCTAGCCCACTTTCTGACACTCATTGGATCTGAGGAAGTTATGTGAACGAGTGGCAAAATATCTTCACCAAACACATAACAATTTGGTTGTACAATCTCTACAAATCTACAAATAAGTATGTAGTTAACAGGCCTGACTGAATACACTGAATGCCACACATATGCTTCGAAGGACAAACAAGGTTTCTGTGCTGAGAGACTGCACACCGCACGCTACAGTGCCAGCACAGTGACCGAGCACAATGCCGGGTTGCAGCCATCTTTTTTGGCTGGCGCTATATAATGTTCCTGTGCATGCTCAGTTCATTCATTCATCCAGGTACACAGGATCAGTGCAAGAATGTAAACTGGCCTGTGCTTGTGCAGCTCAATGTACATTCCAAAGAAGACTGGGAGCAGGCAGGTAAGTTTATTTTAAGGCAGAAGAGACATTGCGTGTCTCTTCTGCAAAAAAGACTTGCTCGCAGTTTTTTAAATTCAGACTTTAGTTACACTTTAAAAAGGTATAACTAAAGCCCACCAGTGACGTCTGTGGGATTCAGCGGCTTATGATGACCAGTACAGTCTAGCAGCATGATGATAAGTGCAAGTAGACACTCCTTTCCACAAATATCTTTAGATATAAAGTGATTCTGAAGGCTTAGATTTATAAAAAAAAATAAAAAATAACAAACATATCTATACTTATCTGCTGTGTGCAGTGATTTTGCACAGGGCAGCCCAGATTCTCCTCCTCCTGGGTCCCCCGCTGGCACTCCTGGCCCTTCCCTCCTGTTGGGTGCCCCAACAGCAAACAGCTTGCTATGGGGGGCACCCGAGCATGTGCACTTCCTAGGTGCTGCTCTGTGTGTTCATTCACACACGGAGCTGCGGCTTGGCCAACCCCCTCTCTCTTCTCATTGGCTCACTGGCTGTGATTGACATCAATGGCTCTCCCTGCTGTCTCAGCCAATGAGGAGAGGGAGTCCCAGGATAGCCAAGACTCCAGTGCACATCACTGGATCAAGAGGGGGCTTAGGTGAGTATTACGGAGGGCTGGGGGGGATGCTGCACAGAGAAGTTTTTTTTTTACCTTCATGCAAAGAATGCATGAAGGTAAAAATCCTTGAGCCTTTACAACCACTTTAAAGTACATATACACCCTTACCTTGTAAAACAACCCATACAGTTTAAAATAGAAATGGAAAGTAAAACATTTGTCTATAGATATAAAAAAAGAATCATAAATAAATTTTTCCCCCTTTTTATGTGATCTAATTCCCTCTGTTCTCAGCTGTATAGAGAGGTGAGGGTGGAGAAACAGCAGTACACTGATCTTCCCAGCAAATGGTTGTGAAGGGAGGGGAGCATGTCAGGACAAGTCTGATCATTGGAGGAGAGCAGGCTGAGTTCTCAGCACAGCTAGAGAACTGACCACACTGTGCTCTCACACCTAGTGTAGAGA